ATGTATGTATTTATATAATATATATTTCCCAATATGTATAATAAACAACTAATAATAAGTATGAAAATTAAATTCTAATTATTTAACCTTTTTGTTGTCGAAATTGCTCGCTGCCGGTCTTGTTGCTCGCCATGTCGATTGTTGAATGTCATGTATTACTTCGCGACTGCGATCCGCGAATTCAAACATTGACGATCGCGATCTCTGCGTTGTGTGCCAATCTATAGTACATGTAACGTGAACTGTTGGATATTAGCAGTGAATATCGGAACGCACTCTTACGCGTGGATATGTAATACGAATGCAGTTTCACGATTTTAATGACATTTTCTAACACGATATACAATAATCAGAAGACACCAATTTATCTAGAAAGTTAAATACTATTTTACCGTACACTTGCTACTTACTATGTTGTTTCCAATTATTCGGTACACTTGCTACTTACTATGTCGTTTCTAATTATTTGGTAAAATAGTATTTAACTTTCTAGATAGATTGGTGTCTTCTGATTATTGTATATCGTGTTAGAAAATGTCATTAAAATCGAATATAGTGCTGCGTTGTGTAAAGCAAATATCTCATAGCAAACGTGAAACATGACATTCAACAATCGACATGGCGAGCAACAAGACCGGCAGCGAGCAATTTCGACGACAAAAAGGTTAAATAATTAGAATTTAATTTTCATACTTATTATTAGTTGTTTATTATACATATTGGGAAATATATATTATATAAATACATACATATAAAGATATACTGTTTTGTTTCAGCGACCAAAAGTGATCCTGTTCTTTTATTTCCTCCTGCAACACTTGCTGGAAAAAATAAGAAGGAAGACACGGCCCAATCACGAGCACCGTTAGCACCACGAGCACCACGAACACCACGAACAGCATCCTCACCATCCACAGCACCCGCACCACCCACGGGACACACAGCAGTCGCACCAGCCGCACCACCCGCACTACCGGCAGGACCCTCAGCACCCGCACCACCCGCACCAGCCGCACCATCCGCAGCAGCCGCACCACCCGCACCAACAGGACCACCAGAGAAACAAATACACGTACGTACGTTTAACAAAAAAATTATGTGCGTGCGTGTGTGTCTGTATTATATTGTGTAAGAGAGAAAGAAAGAGAGAGAGAGAGAGAGAGAGATTGATTGATTGATTAATTATGCTTTATTTGACGCTCTGGAATGATATTCTTTCAAGCGTATAAGATCAGTTACAAGAAAAAGTAAGAGCAAAACAATAAATGCGAGTATAAATGAGCTAACATAGCATATTCTGGTTTAGTAGATGCTCAAAAAATTTGGATTTGAAAACGTTAAAGCGTTCGTTGCGGATGTCTACTGGAATATTATTCCATACATCTACAGAGACACATTTGTAGGATCTCCTATAACATTCTGTGCGGCACAACGGCAGAATCAGAGTTCTACTATTAGCTCGAGTATCATGTAGCTGGAAATCTCTAAAAGAGTATCTTTCATATAAAAGTATTGGTCTTTCTGTCTCCAGAATTTTAAATAACAAATTGCCTACAAAGAATGTTCTTCTCAATTTGAGTTTGAGCCAGCGTAGTTTCTGATAATGTGGTGTTATATGTTTGTACTATTTGACTTTGAGGATAAATCTAACACATCCGTTAAAAGCTTTGTGCAACCTGAGATTGTCAGTTTCTGTTAAATCAGTCAGTAGAGTACAACAGTAGTCGAATATTGGACAAATCAGAGATGACACCAATCTAGACCGGACCAGAGGAGAGAAAAGGTGCTTGTATATCTTCAGCCGGTACAGTGCAGCATTAGCACGCGAGATAATCAAGAGGCACGGTAGTGCCTCGCGCCAAGTTCACGCGCAACGAAGTGGCGCTCGAACTGCGCGAGCACACTGTGCCTCTTATACGCGAGATTCATGCATTTTAGGAGTGGGGAGATTTTCTCAGGG